TTCTCATTAATTATTCTAAATTTTTTATTTTTTTCTTTTTAAATAAAAAATCAAAAAATAAATTAAAAATGAGTAAAAAATAAAAAATAATTAAAGTTTGAAACAAGATGAATGAAAAATTTGAGTCAAATAGAGAAGCTCATTTTATATGGTATTCTTCACTTTCCATGGTTTTATGTAATGACCGATATGTCCATATTAAATATGTGTGTCAATTAATCCTTAATTTTGAATTCTAAAATAGTTTTTTTTTTTTATGTTCCTTTAATATACATTTGAAGAATTTATATTATATTATCTTCAATTGGTTCAAATCTTGTCCTTTATAATAAATAATTTCGTAAATAACATACTTTGGAGGATTTTAACTTGTGAAATTGGAAACATTATCATAGCTTTTAGTTTCTAATATGTAGAAAACAATATTTGGCATATCTATGCAAACTTCAGTAATCATAAATTATCTTCAATTGGTTCAAATCTTGTACTTTATAATAAATATTTTCTTAAATAACATATTTTGGAGGAATTTAAGAACCGAAATTGGAAACGTTATCATACATTTTAGTTTCTAATATGTAGAAAACAATATTTGGCATATCTCGACAAACTTCAACAATCATAAATTAAATAATTAAAGTATATAATTCAAATTAAAAGCAATTTTGAAACAAATTTATTTTTCTAGCTATTCTATGGTCTAAGCAAAGTTTGTCTCGCTCTAAAGTCATTTGAAGTTTTAGGACGGTCTAAATTACTAGTGTGGTAATTCAGCCTATAGCCTTAATACGAGGAGGTAGGGGAAATTTATTCTACCATTTCCTATGCATAAGCCGACTTCCAGTCTAAACGAGAGCCTAAAAGAGTATCAGTAGACTTTTATCATACTTGACTCAAGATCTCTCTATCTAAATCATAATAGGGTTTTATTTAAGGTTTAGAGCTTTTACGGAGTTTCCTTGTGGTGTGTGCGGCAATTCAATGTAAATATCCAATCCGAGTTCAAACTTAAATATTTAAATTTTATTATGATTTTTATTATTATTCTAGATATATTATTAAAATTAAAATGCCATATGCATTCTTTCACTCCCATGGGACTAGTCATTCTTTATATCCAAATAAAAAGAGAAACGTTTTCCACGAGATAACAAAAGTAGTCTCAAAACTTGGATTCATTCAATGTAACAATATTTCTTAATTGTACCCTAAATATAATATAGTCTATCAATTTAGTTCATCCATTCAAATTGATTAATGTTTTTCATCTAAAATTCTATTATATTATGTGACAAAAACTTACAAGGCATCGACTTTTGGAATGGAAAAATAAAAAATTGTCCCTGATCAAGCATCTTGGATGCCAAGAAAATTAAGTCCGATTTGCTATCTTCTCTTAGATAAAAATTGTTAGAAACTTGATTTTATTTTTTCTAAAATGTTTCTATTTTCAATATTAACTAGACTAACATACTTTTATATAATTTTTCTTTTAAAAAAAAAGTGCTTTAGGTTTAGGATCAAAATTTTTAGTATAATATACATGTAATATAAAATATATTTTTTAAACTAATTGCATGTTATGTAATTTACTAATAAATAAACAATTTTACTTGATGATTATAATTAATATAATCCACATATATTTATCAACCTAATTATTTCTAAATAAAATATTTAAATTAACCATATTTAAATTAACCGTAATTCAAATCTAATTAAATTTTAAATATCAATTAATTAACCAATTGGACTATAATTAATATTAATAATCAAAAAATCAATAAAAAAAAAACCCAAATTAATTTAACCCTAAGTCAAATTAACTTAATTAAATTAATACTAACTAATTACATTAATCCTAATTCAAACATTAATTAAATTTTAAAATAACAACTAGCAAATTGACAAAATTAACCTCACAACTAAAAAAAATAATAAAAAAAAATTAACAAAATTTTAACCTAATAATTAATCAAAATTAACCTAACAATTAAACAACCAATTTATCTAAACTACCCTAACAATTAACAAAATTAAACTAACAACTAACAAATAACAAAAACAATCTTTTAATTAACAAAATTAATCAATTTAACAAAGAGAGAAAGAGAGAAAACTAACCAAATGAGTGGAGGGTGCCACTAGTTTTAAAGTGGCTTTTAGGGACGAGAGGGGTGCCTCGCGGAATGAGTGGGCTAGGGAGTGAGTGGGGTGTCATGGGGCGGTGGCTTGGGCTATTGGTGGCGGCGGCTAGCAAGAAGGACACGAGAAGGAGAGGGAAAGGGAGAAAATTTAGGAGAATAGAAAGAATCTAGAACTTTCAAGGATTTAGGATTAGCAACAAACGCAATTCCATTGCTAATCGGTGATGGAAATAAGTTTCCATCGCTAATTTAAAATTTAAGCTAGCACTCAATTGCCTAAAAGTTTTAGAAATTTGGGAAACTAGTGCTAAAACCCCATCACTAATTAGATGAAAATTATAATCCATTGCTAAATTCATTTGCCAATATGTTGCAATTCTATCGCTGACATTACCTTAGCGATTGAATTGGTTATGTCACTAATTTTTCAGCACAAATCTATCGTAAATTGTTGTATCTCCAATTTAACCGTGATTTAGTTGCTAATAAGGGACGAAATATAATCTGTCGTGATAAATAATAGAATATGAATTTTGAGATTTATTAGTTAATTATTGAGTAAGGAGTCCATTTATGAGTTTATTGATTTAAGTAGAATATTTATTATGAATTGTTAATTTTAATGAAATGAATTAAATTATTTAAGTAGCATAATTGTTAAATTGCAAAAGAACTAAAGTAAGCATAGTCCAACTCGAGTACAATGACTTTATGTGTGAATATGTTATGTGATTAAATGAGTCTTAGGTGTATTTTTTTATGTACATTTACATTGTTAGCATAGATTTACATATTTTATCAAATGTATTGAAATTCTGTTATGCATGAAATGCATGAAAGACAAAGGTTTTGTAAAGAAAATCATAAAAGGCAAAGCTTGGTAAAAGCAATGGTAAAGGCAAGGTAAGAAAAAGTTTGAAATCATGTTATGCATGGAATGGATGAGATCTACGGATCGAGATATTCTAAAGATGATGAACTAAAACTTTTCGACTCAAAAGGTAATTTACAATTATACCATATTTGTCTTCTCAATTTTTATCTTATTGCTAAATTTTCTCGAATACGTATCCCAAAATCATTTGTCAAATCTCATTGAACGGATGAAATCTAATGACTAAAATTTTTGAAAGGAATGCTGTGAAATTTTTTTCGATAAGAATAGCAAGCCTCAAAAGGTAATTCACAACTATATAATTGTTTTTTCTACTCTCCATGTCCCTAAGTGTTAGTCTTCTTTGATTTTTTACATAATTAAAGAGAGACATTAAATTTTATGATACATTAGCTTTTTTTAACTTTACTTTTCCAAAATACCCTTCCATCCTATCAAATTTGAGTTTCAATTGTTTTTTAAAATATATTGAGATACTTAAAACTCTTCTAAAATCAAGGCGCCAGATTAAAACATTTTTTCTTCCCAAATTTAAGTTAATTTAAAAATAAAAAAAATCTAAAGATCATTAACGAATTCTAAAATTTCCATAAAATTTTAAGCCAAAATACTAGTTTCAAAATCAAGGTGTCAAATCAAGATTTTCATCCCTTCCAGTTAAGTTGGAAAATTTTATAAAGATCTAAAGATCATTAAGCCTTCTAAAATTCTCATGAAATTTTATGCCAAAAAATTAGTCCCAACTCAAGGTGCCAAATCAAAATTTTTGTTCCTTTCAAATTTATGTTAGAAAATTTTAGAAAGATTTAAAGATCATTAAGGAATCCAAAATTTTCTATATGAATTTGTTTATATTATTTGTTTGTATAAAATAAAAGTTTCAAGAATATTAATTTTCTTGTTAGTAAAAAATAAGAAATGATAGAAAGAACTAATTAAGAGTCTTTTAGAAAAGTATAGTATTCAAATTTTTAACTAGACAATTATTTAGGAATAAGTGTAAATAGAAATATAGATAATTTGTTTAGAAGAGAGGGAGTAATTTTTTCTCCTAAGATGGCTCTACAAAAGATCTCAAATGAGTACCAAAAAATTATTGATTTAGTGATACGTCAGCCGATCTTCAAGCAAGTTTTCTAACATTGTACGAATTTTGAATCTTGAAGTCATATTTATTGAAAGGAGTTAAATTTTATCGTTTTAGTCTCAAACATTATTAATCATATCTCCCATATAGATTGGGGATACCAGAAAAAAAAAAAAAAAAAAAAAGAGGATTTCAAGCAAGTGGATTCTCTAATTTATTATTAATTTTACCAAATATTTATTCCAAAATCACTTATCAAAACCTTATTTATAGATGAAGGGAATCTAATGATTAAAATGTTCGAAAGGTGATGTGGTGAAATTTTTTCGATAAGATTAACACAACTGAAAATGTAATTCATATCTAGATTTTTATTCTCAATTTTTATATGGACCTACCAAATATGTATCATATAATAAAGTAAAAATTCGAACCTTTTCTATTTTGATTAATTTGCACAACTCACCATCTGGGGCACATTCGTAATTTTACAAATCAAGCAGGTAGCAACGTTATAGTTTCCCTCCTCTTCGAAATGCCACAAATTTCCACGCAATAACTACCAAAAATGTATCCCAATGTCGTTGCCGTTCAATACACCATCATCAATTCCCGTGTACGTCCAAAAATTAAGAGACACAACATTTAGCAATGCAACTAAACAGTACCATAACATGAAGAGACATCAACGTTTAAGTAACTGAACTAACTACCAGTTTCGAAATTTTGGCCTCCACCACAATATAAATACACCTTTGCTTTGCTTTCCTTAATCCTTGCATAACCATTAATCACATCAGTCATTAGCTCCTCAACAAAACAGATTCATTCTCTTTGATTTTGTTCTGAATCTCATTTTTCTTGATTCACCATGACTAATAATAACAATAAGGATGCTCCCGCCTCCCCCAACAACGGCAATGAGCAGCCACAACAAGCCAACAGTCCTAGGGGGAGCCGAACCAATCAAGAAGAGGCTGTTATGCCACCTAGGCCAAGAGGGTCTAGGCTTGAAATAGGTGGATCTTCTTCTGCTTCTACCTCTACTGTTGTGACTCCAACTGCTGGTGCTACTCCATCAAGTCCAGAAAGGATTGCAGGGAGTGGTGCTGGTGTTGGTTCCAGTGCTGTTGACACTGCTGCAGCGCCTGGAGAAGGGTCTTCCTCAAGAAAACGATCTGGGAAGGCCCCTGAAGAGGGCACTTCCCCTGTGCTTAAGAGGGCTAAAGGGGAAATGGATATAAATCCTGACGCTGATCCTACGTGCTCCACATGTGGCTGAATATTTTCCTCTTGGAAGGCCGTTTTCGGCCATATGCGAGCACATCCTGATCGCGGTTGGAGAGGTGCTTTTCCTCCACTGGAATGGTCTCCAGAAAAGCCTGTTGATCAGCAGAGAGATCCGAGTGCACTGCGAAGCCAATTAGCGCCAACTCTGCGAAATTTGGCGCAGGAAACTCTAGAAAAGATAAAGCAGGATCAAGGTGAGGCTGGCTCTTCAACAGGCAGAAGAAACTTTGATCTCAATATAGAACCACCGAGAGAATCTATTTCTGAATCTTCTTCTCCGCCTAGCCATGGAGACAGTTTTGATCTGAATAAACCCCCCAAAACAGACAAAAGTGGTAACGATGGATCATCCAAATAGATTAGGCTTACCAAAGATTCTTTTTAAAATTTTTTATTTTATTTTAATTCATGCTTATGTATGTATTAGTATAATATAGAGTGTTAATATTTTATCTGTCCATTTATCCATTTAGTGGATGATTAGCAAGTTTAGATGTACTTCTTTTTTGTTATTTTACACAATGAATGAATGCATGAATTAAAATTTTGTTTTATTGATTCTAACAATCTTGGCTTCTATGTTCCAGACATGGCTTTCATTAAATTATCTCTTTCTTTTATTTCCCCTTTTATGTGTTTCTTAAACATATATAGTGTCGATTAAGAACATTCTTCTTTTCTGTTCTTGGTTTTTTATTTTTATTTTTTTCCAACTTGATGATGCTTAATTAGAATACTAAAAAAATTTAGGGTTTTTGTTGCATCTTAGTGATCACTCTCTTGTAATTCCACAGTCACCATACACGAAGGAATCTTAATGGTATGATCAATTTTTTAACCCAAAAAGCAAAGTGTCCCAGGTTCTCAAATTGCTCCCATTATGTTTAGATGGAATTTACGGAAGCTATTAAACAAAGAGAATTGCGAAGGAGATTGACGTTTAATGAGAAAATTGTGAAGGTTATATATATATATCCGTGAAACCTCTTTTCCAATTCAACTGTATATATAAATTGTGTGTTTGATAACTTGAGAATATTAAAAAATAAAAATAAAAATATACAGTTCAGTTTTGTTTTGTAATATGTTGTAATTCAAAATGTATGAATTAATCAACTTCTTATTTGTCGAAGCAGAAAGCTGTTCCATTTGCTTAACATTTGGACACTTCAATCACTGTTCTTGAACTTTTAGATTTCGTGAGAAAAGAAAAAAAGATCATTAATTATTTGTTGGCTAACGTGAAAATTTTGATGAAGATGTTCACCTGCACTCTTCATACTTGATATATGTTTATTTTAGTTTAATTTAACAAAGTTAGATGTAATTGGGCACAGAGCAATACATCGAAAGTTGCAGGAATACACAATGGTAGGAGATGTAATTTTATCCAACTTTAAAGTCACTTGTTTCACCTTCTTATTGATGCAAAATTTGTTAAATTGCTTCTTGTCAATTGTCATCCATCTTTGCCAGCATAGTTTTGTAAGGGTTTTAGCAATACCGTTAAGTTGATACAAGGAATGGCAGAAGAAGATGAGTAAGGGAATGAGTAAGGGAGAGAGTGACAGAAAAGAGAGAGAGGATAAGAGAAAAGAAGATGAGAAGACAATTTTCGTTCTGAATTTTCTTATATTTCTTCTCATTCCTCCTGTCTGTAACCACAATAGTCTTCCTAACATGTAACAAAATAGCTAATACTACTGGGACCTTTTTATTAGAATTAAACCCGTATACTAAGGGCTAATAAGCCTAACAAGTAATTAGCCCAACTAAGAATAACAAAACTAAACATTATGGCCCAACACACAAAGAAACAGATCACTAACTCAATCTAATTCACTCATTAGTCTCTCATTAGTACAAGAAAATACACGAGTTAGCAACAAAATTTAGCGACAGATTGTATTTTTTTGCTAATTAGCTACTAAATAGCGATCGAATGATGACGAAATTGAAAATGCAACAATTTAGAATGGATCAAAGACGGATTTGTGATGGAACCTTAACGACGAAATAATTTCATCGCTATGCCAATATTCACGACAAAATTGCGATAGATTAGCAAGGGAATTTAACGACGGATTAACATTTTTTGTCGCTAAAAACAATTATTTGATTAGTGACAGATTATATCCGCCATCGATTTTCTAAATTTCTAAAAAGTTTAGGCAACTAGACACTAGTTTAAAATTCAAATCAACGACCAACATAAGTGTACTGTCGCTATCTAGTGCTAGATTAGCGATGAAATAACATATGTCGCTAATCTTAAATCCCTTAAACTTCCAACATCTTTCTTTTTCTCCAAAAATTTTCCCCTTTGCCCCTTCTCCTCTCTTGTCACCGCCCCCAACGACCCCAACCTACATAGCCATACACCACAACCATCATCCTACAACCCAAATTATCATACCATTCATGCCGAGCGAGTCACCTACTATCACAACCTCACCATACCACTATCAATCAATCCCATCACCCTTTTACCATTCCTGCAAATAAATCCCTCACCATCATCGGTCGGGAACCAATTTCACAAGACCAAAAAAAGGCACTATAAACACAAGGAGAGGAATCGATGAAAAAAAAAATCAAAGAAAAATAGTAATTGAAACAGGAAAAAAAGCCAAAAAATTTAAAATATATATATAAGAGGAGAAATTTACCTATTTTTTGCACAACAATTAACCATCATCTTCAACCCATTCTACTTGGTAACCTCCTTAATTTCTCTTAAATTTTGGTTTATTGTCAATTTGGGTTTTGTTTCAAAATTTGGAGATTTTTTGAAATAGAATTGAAATTGGTTTGGGGAATAGAAATAAGTCTAATTAAAGTCAATTGGAATTTTAATTTGGTGTTTGAACCACAAATTGAAGCTGAATTGACTTCAATTAAAATGTAAGGTTCCTAATTTTTTTTTTCAAAAATAATAAATTAGGGTTTTCAAGAAATTGGATCATAAGAGGCTTGTTTAACTTGATTTCAAGAGAAATCACGCCAATTAAGGCCAATTGAAAGAAAATTTTAAAGAATTGAAAAGTTAGAGATTGGCCAAATTGGGAAAGAATTTTACAAAATTGATATGGGGGTTTTTTATTTAAGATGGAAGAAGATGTTTGGGAGTGAGAAGGAAGAAAAGAGGATGGAGGACAAACCAAAAGCCTCTATGTTGTTCCTCCATGAGTAGATTCAAAAAAAAAAAAAAAAGAGGATGAGAGAGAGAGGATTCAAGTCGAGAGGAAGGAAGAGAAAGGAAAGAGAAGAGAAGAAGAAAAGATAAGAAGGAAAGAAGAGAAAGAGAAGAAAGTCATTGACGAACAATTACTAGTTTGTGCATGGAGAGAGGTCGTTTTAAAGAAGGAGAAGAAGAAGAGAGAGAGAGAGAGAGAGATTAAAAAAGAAGAAAAATTGGTGTTTGATCAAAAATTTAGGGGAAAAAAAAAAGGGAGGTGCTTGTGGGCTTGATCGGTTTTAAAAGCTTGGGTTAGGCTAAGCCCTATCTATGTGTGGCTGGACTAGGCTAATCCGAGCCTATTCTAGCTCGAAATATATATATATATATATATATATATATATATATATATATATATATATATATTGGGTTTGATTGGAATCAAACCCCGAAAAAAAAAAAAGGTTGGACTAAATTGGTTTCAATCTAGTCCAACCCAAAAAATATATATATATTATACAAATAAAAAAATGTTAGCTAATAAATAAAAGAATATCTTTGTTTAATTCTTGAATTTATTTTATAAATGTTTGTTATTTTTTATTTAACTTAGATTTTAATGTTTTTTTAATTACTTTAATTAATGTAGTTTTAATCTTGAATTTATTTTATGTATGTTTTTTATTAATTTATATTTAAGTATTTGAATTTTCTTTAATTTATTTAATAAATGTAACTTTAATTTTTTATTTTTTTTAGTAACTAGATTCGTAATTAATGGGTTAGCTACAACGCATAGTTTGGGTCGACCCTCACATTCACTATCGAATCACATTCGATAGTACTAGACATGTAACCCCATCCGACGACAACCCATAAGGATTCACAACCAATGTTATTTAGGGATCTCTCACTTCATGTTGTCATGGACTTGGCCTTTACGAAGCTCTCGGGCAGCACTTGGCTTACTTCTTCTCTACGCCAAACTAAGTTAAGCTTCTCTCACACAAGGTTGTCAAGCAAGAAAGACGCACACAATAGAAATACGAACTCTTTGTATTGTCCTCTCTAAAGGTTAAAACCCTAGGATTAGACTTCTATAGATTTTTGGATGTCTTAGCCAAATGAAGGCCTCACTAATTTATAGTCCTCCACCTCCTTAATGGATGGTTTATAGTCTTCAGAGACTTCTAAACTTATCTAGCATTCCTAATAATCCTAAAAAAAATCCTTTTTCAAGAAGGGCATAACATTCTCCCCCACCTAATTTGGCGATGTCTTTAGCATGTTGTTATACTCTTTGACCTTTTGTGTGAATTACCACAAGGCTTCAATAGGTTCTTAGCTATCTCATTTTCTAATAATCCCTTCTATTTGACATAATACTCCTTTTTAGTTGCATTTCATGATGTTTGACTATGCAATCATTAAGTATGGCATCAACTTCTTTGTCATACGAGTCAACCACTACTATAGATGCCCTATGAGAAACTCCTCATCATGGATCCTCCTCATTCATATGGTATAACTTTAGCATATAAACATGAAACATTGAATGGATCTTTAGATTCGATGATAACGCTAGGTGTTAGGACACCTCTCCCACCTTGTGCACTATCTTGAATGGTCCTTCATATAGACGCATAAGGCCTTTTTGCACCTTACGATATGCTTTATATTCTTTGGGGTAACAACTTTACCATCATTTGTCACACGATTAGAAGGTGACATCTCTTCATTTCTTGTCGGCCCATTTTTTTATTTTCTTGGCGGACATTCGCATCAAGTCCGCTTACTCTTTCCACCCTTTAACAAATAAATATGCTTGTAAGGTTACTTCCTAGGTAATTATCACCAAGCACCACGGTATGTGGAGGGAGAGGCTACTAGTCCTTCATGATCTCAAATGAACTTTTACTAGTAAAGTCACTCTTTGTAAGGTATAGGAGATTGGGGAACTTCCGAGTAACTTAGCCTAATCTCGCTAGTTGATAGTTACAAAGTCTCTCAAATATGTCTCCAACAAATTATTAACCCTCTCGATCTACCCATCTATTTGAGGGTGAAAACTCATTAAGTAATTCAACTTCGAGCCCAATAAATCAAATAACTCGATCTATAACTTCCTAGTAAATTAAGGATCTCAATCACTAATTATATGTCATAACATGCCTCAATAC